TCTCTGACTGCCTCAAGGTGTGTGTCGTGGAAGCATCTTCGCTGCGTGAAATCACACTACTCGTTCTAATTGAATGCTCTGTTTCTGTACGCATCACAATCCTAAAGCGGCCCTCACCCAGCTGCTGCTCTACTACTATGCCGCTCTGACTGCCTGAAGGTGTGTTTCTTGGAAACACAATTGCTGATTCCAGTGCACACCATCAATGCTTTAAGCACGTATCACAGTGACTTCCTGAAGATGGGTCTTGAGAATGCACAACTGTTTTGTAGTGCACGCTTCTCGTCTCATTTGGAAGTGACTTGATGGCTGTGTGTGCCCACCATTGTTTTGAAAGCCGTTTGATGCGGCTGAGCCTGTTAACTGGCAGTTGCCGATAATGCCTGTTGAACATGTTGCTCATGTCTTACATCTGCATTGTCCTTATCCACACATGTATGTCATTTTTCTGTGTGTTATTGACCTTCCTCCTCCCCTCCTTATGTGGCAACTGTGACTGTAGCGAGTGGAGGGAGGCGCATCACTAATGAAGGATGTGGTTTCCATACCATCTATCATGTACGAGATCCGCAAGTACAGCCTCACGTTCTAAATGGCTGGCAAGTCAACAATGGTTTCTGTACCATCTCCATCTACATGAAACATCCTGTACCCCCTACAATGCAACCCAACGTAGCCTACAGGTACCCAAATATGTGTACACTAACAGGTACAACACGGAGGGTCCTGTAATCTAACATGGAGGGCAAATCTCATATCCATCTGGGATGTCATATCTTTGGCCTTCCAGCCTCTGCAGAGAGGATAAGGAAGGAACAGTTAGCGAAACTAGCTCACTCTTCTACCTGTCAGTTATGAATGGATGTTGTACATTGCTCAAGTATTTTTTTCATGAACACAAAGATAAGTATGGCAAGGCTATACATCCACTAAATACATGTTTGATTCGGTTTAGGAATCTTATCATTTGAAGGGAGCTGCTTGTAGATGAGGAGGTGTTGCAACTGCCAGTGGAGCTGATCAGCTCAGCACGCGACGCCGCAAACCGACTGGGAAAATGCAAGGCAAGAAGAAGGTGTGAGCGAAGCGTGGGAAACGGCGGGATAATTTAGGCGAAAAAAGGAGCTCCCAAAGCCTGTCGTTTTGTTTGCCAGTTCTGCAGCATGTCTGAAGTTAGATGGGAGGTTATGACGGGTTTTGACGGAAGTGGACGATCTCGTTTGGGTGTTTTCCCGAGAGGTCTACGTTCAAAGGGTCCTCGACACCTCAACACCCAGCCTCGACATGTCTTGGAGATGTCGAGGGATTTCAAAAGTGCGTGTGGGCAGGAAATCGGGCAAGAAACGGGGAATTCGGCGAATTGAAGCGACCGTTGTCAGATTTGGGGCACTTCTCACACTGCATATCATCGTTTTAGGTACACGCACCTGGTTTCCCGCATGTTGGAGGTCACAAAAGCGCGAAGCGTGGCATCTCAGAGGCAGGACATCCGTCGATTCGCTGGATATCGACAGATGTTGTCGAGGAACACAAGGTCTCTCTGGAAAAAATGTGCTTCACATCACGTCAGCTCACAGCTCACTCGCACTGCTCGTGCTGGTGGGGGCTGTTCTGCTGGTCAGCAGGAGTCTGAAATGACCAATTTCACACCAGAATTAAACCTCAATTCAAGCTTTTGGGCTAGCTAAATCAGCCCATTTGTGCAGCTTTCTGTTACTGATGGGGATGTGCTCTCAGTGACCATCAGTGATAGTTCACCCCATTCACGACGAGATTTTGTCCATTTCACTGGGACGCCTACGCCGAAGAGGCGCAGGAGCGCGAGGAGGAGTACCGGCAGAAGGTTGGCTCGCTGCAGTTCGCGGAGACGACGATGAGGCCGGACATCGCGTTCGCCTGCAGCAAGCTGGGGAGCGGCCTCACAGTGAGGAGCGACCAGCATTGGCGCGAGGTCGACCGCTGCCTCGCCTACCTTGCTGACACCCGCGACACCGCCCTGGAGTTCGGCGGTGGACCAGAGTCGCTGGAGCTGATCGGCTACGTGGACGCCGACGATGCGGGCGACAAGCAGAAGCGGACGAGCACGGGTGGCTACGTGTTCGTCTTCGGAGGGGCCGCGGTCTCCTGGTCAAGCACGCGTATCAAGTGCGCGACGCTCTCCTCGACCGAGTCGGAGTACGACGCGGCCACGGACGCCGGCAACGAGGGGCGTTGACTTCGCTTCCTCCTTGCAGAGTTCAAGCTGCTCAACGTTGGGAAGCCGATCGTCCTCCGTGTGGACAACAAGTCGGCAATCACGGCCGCTGAGGGCTTGGGGCTGACAAGCAACCTCAAGCACATGGAGCGACGCTACGCCTGCCTGCAGCACATGGTGAGGCGCGGGAAGTTCGCGTTGAAGTACATCCCGACCACCGAGCAGCCAGCTGACTTCCTGGCGAAGGCACTGCATTTTGCGGCTTTCAACTGGTGCTCTGTCGCCATCGGCCAAGTTCGTCTGGCCGATGTCGGCGACGATGACGATGAGGAGTAGCAGTAGGTGCCGTGCCATTCTGCACGACTGGTGCGGTGACGGCGTGCTGTGTGTGGGGTGCACGCCGAGGACGAGTTTTGTCCATGGAGTACTGCCGTGTGGGCTGGAGGTCCAAGCGTGAGCGCGGCAGGGGGGTGTTAACGGGAATGGAGTGTTGGCCCCGCCCTCGCTTGGGCAACGCCGACTACTTGGTCGAATGTACGGGAGAAGCAGCCGACCGTTCATAGTGGGAGAGCTGCTCGACGGGCTTCGTTCAGCTGCAGGGAACCGGTTTGGTGTTGCTGTCGACTAGGGAGCTCGACAGCTGCAGCTGACTGGGCTGGGAGACGGGTGGGCCGTCGACCAGGAGGAGCAGTTCGACCGGGGAGGTCGACGGAGCAGTCCGTAGACCTGACATGTGAGTAGCGGTCGACGAGGGGAGCTCGGCGACATCAGCTGACAGTTCTGGTCGACGGAGGGGTCCGTCGACCAAGGGGTAGCTCGACTGGAGCTCTGGTTGACCAGAGGCACTTGGTGGTCGACCAGATCACTTGGTGGTCGACCAGGTCGATTGGGTAACCTGCTCGACGAGTTCTGCGGAGGCACGCGAACGTCGTCGAGCTCGCGATGGCAAAGGCGACTTCGGGTTGGTATCCCGAAGTTGATGTGGCTCATCAGGCGCAGACAACAGCCGACGGATGCACAACGATGCAAGTCGGGCCAATCGTCTGCGCGCACCTGCGAGCGTGCGCACTGCTGTCTTCTACGGGGCAACGCTGGACAGTCGCTCTGCTGCAGCGTTGGCATGCCATCTTCTGCGGCTCCTCTACGCAATGCTGGCAGGCGGTCGACCAAGCTGTGCTGGCGGTCGACCAGGCTAGCTACAAAGTTTCTAGGTGCCTGATGTAGTCATTGTTGTCATTGCTTGTTCAATCATTCTGTAATTCCAACTTTGCTAGTGGAAAATCTTGCCGATTTCTCCCGTGATTGTGCAAGCACTAAGGAACTTGGCAAAGCTACGATTACTCCTAGTAGTTCGTGCCAACCCCCGGAGTCTAGCTCACTACCGTTGTAGAGTGAATCTCTGCATGGTGCGGTGAGCGTGGACGGCCCAGCAGATTATCTTCAAATAGGAGCAGACTTTTGCACCTACTAAGTCGTTCGTAGGCCGGCAGCAGTGATGGTCACCATGGTTGACCCCTTAGCTGATGCAGGTGTAGCGGACACCTTGGAGGCACGCTTGGCTGATGCGAGGAAATGCCACGCGGACGGCGAGTACAGGACGATCCCCTTGCTGATCATCGAGTTGGGCATCCAGTTGCAGTGGGCGACGGAACACCCTTCCCATCCTGATTCTCCTCGACCGGTGCGAAACGAAGGCGGCGTCGACGACGAGGTCGACGGCGGTGCACGAGTCAGCGGCAACAATGGCTCGAAGCAGAGAGGCGTGATCAAGGTCGACGGTGGCGTCGACAGGAGCCAGGCGCGAGTGCAGCGGTCGACTTTGCTAGTGAAACTCTTGCCAACTTCTCCCATGAATGTGCAAGTGATAAGGAACCTAAGCAAAGCTACGATCAATCCTAATAGTTCGTGCCAACCCCCCCCCCCACCCCCCCCCCCCCCCCCCCCCCGTAGTCTAGCTCACTACCTTTGTCGAGTGTCTCTCTTCGCAGTGGAGACTTTAGACAGCCACCTGGGGCTCAACCAGGTGTATCTGGAGGCAAAAGCATCGGGAAGCAGTGGTGGTGATGGTGGAGTGGGGGCTGCTAGGAGCAGTGCTGCGGTAAGTGGGTCTATTGGCAGCCGTGCAGCTGGAGGCGAGGAGGGAGCAGCTGCATCCAAGTGGGTGGCAGTGCGGCCGTTTGACGATGGCGGTCTCTCCGCCCTCAAGGGCTGCCCCGAGTGCCGCCAGCCAATCACAGGGCTCCGCCAGTACGGCAGGATGGTGAACAAGGCGCTACTGGACGAATCAGAGCGCAAGTTCGCCCTCAGCTGCCTGGCCGACCAGCAGCAGCTCCAGCAGAAGCTGTCTCAGATGAGGCGAGCCGTATCTGCATGTCCGGAGGCTGCCCAACCGTGGCAGGTATGGGGGTTAGTTCGAGCTGCAACCTTTCTGGTAGTGGAGGCAAGCAAGCTGCAAGGCACGGCTATGGAACCGCCTACCTAGAAGACCTACCAGGCTTCTGTTGCTGCGCTGCAGAGGAAGCACCTCCAGTTGGGAACTTCGTCATCCAGAGCAGATTCTCTTGCATGGGAGGAGTGCCAGCTCCTGTATGTGCCCCAACCGGACCCGCGGCCCCTCTGCGAAGCCCTCATGCTGCTGGGGAAAGCCTATCAGCTGCTCATGGCTGCCAATTTTCCCCAGCTGAGCTGCCTGTTGAAAGAATTTCAGAATCTGGCTCGTCAGAATCTGGCTCGTCCGAATGCTCGTCCGAATGCTGATCAGACTGATAAGGACAGCACTGATAGAGTAGAATTCTTGGTCTGGCAGGTGAAGAATTGCAGGGCGGTTGTGCGGATGGGATTGAAGTACGCAGAGAGGCATGTGGGGGAGGCGGTGGAGTGGGCTGGGAAGCGCAGGGCGCATCGGCTGGAGGCGAGGGGGAGGCTGGAGCTAGTTGATGTGTTCCGTACGTTCGTGGAGGGAATGATGGTGGAGCGCCTGCTCTCAACGTCCCCGGCTGGCCTGGTGAGAACAGTAGACTGCATAAACCCTCGACTGCCTCCCTTCCATCCACCCTCTCCCTTCCCTCCCTCCCTCCCTCAGCTCCCCCTACCCTCCTTCCGTTTTTTTTTAGCTCACCTATTTTTAAGAAGGGGAGGAGTTGTCGGGAGGAGGAAAGTGCATTTGTTTGGACTTTGATGGCTCACGGATGTGGTGCACTCAAGTGCTCATTCTGTGCACTTTTTCTTGCAGGATGAGTCAAAGAAGCAGCAACTGGAGTATCTCGAGAAGGCCAAGATTCAGTGCCACAAGGTGGCCTCCCAGCACCTAGCCTCGGTCAAAGAGAACGAAACCCTTGGAGGCAGTGTCAAACTAACGAACGAGAATGACTGCATTGAGCAGAAAGTTGGTACAAGTATTAACCCTAATTGGGTTGTACCCCTTATAGGCTACCCCACTACAGCCTACACAAAATCAGCAATATAACATTTTGACACACCCCCATAGGCAAAGTGGGGGAGAACAAGTGGTCACAAGACCATTCAAGAAAAGCAAAGAAAGCTCAGGGTGGATCTCGAAGTCACCACACATTCCGAGCACAGACAAAGGCCACAAGGCCAGTTCACATGCAGAGTTATATAAAAGAGAACAAACAGCATAGTGATCATACCCTAGCAAGTGTAAGCATGCAGGTATATATATAGATCACATTACAAGCAAAGTCACGCAATGAGCAAGCGAGGCAAAGTAGGTACAAGGCCTAAAACAGTACAGAAGCGCTGATGATCACCAGACTGAAGTGCCTTGGTGAATATATCAGCAGTGTTGGCCCGAGTAGCCACGTAAGCAACACGAAGCTGACCACGCTGCTGCAACTCTCGAGCAAGGAAGTAACGCAGAGCGATGTGATTCATTCTGCGCTCCAGTCTGTGCTCCTGACACAAGGCAATCATGACCTTATTATCTACGTACAGAACTGGAGAAAAACGAGGCCGCTCTCCCAAGTCGGTCAGCAGGTAGGTGAGCCAGCGTAACTCCTGTGCAGCCATGGCCCTTGCGTAGATCTCAGCCTCACAACTGGAGCTGAGAACAGAAGACGAGCGGGTAGATCAACAAGAAACAGAGCCGGAGCCAAGGCTGAAACTGTAACCCTGTGACGACCGCTGCATAGCCAAGTCATCAACCCAAGAAGCGTCTGCGTGTCCAGTGAGGACAACTGGACCCCGTCCTCCAAGCACGAGCCCCATGCCGGACGTACTACACAAGTAGCACAACACCCTCTTAGCGGCCTCCCAGTGCTCTGGTCGGTGTCTCTCGGGCGCAACGTAGCGTGCCAGGATGCTAAGAGGGTAGGCAAGGTCAGGTCGAGTGCAGGTCATCAGGTACATGAGGCAGCCCACAAGCTCTGGATACGGGCCACTCGGCTACGGATTCGTCCGAAGGTGGAGCTGAGAGCGAGTGACCGGTAGGCAGAGGAGTGGACCGTGGCGAGGAGTACTGGAAGCCGAAGCGCTGAAGGACCTGGTGCACCATGTGTGACTGAGTTAGGGTGATGGTACGCCGTGCTCTGTCCCGGGTGATCTGCACGCCAAGATAGATGCGCAGCTCACCCAGGTCAGTGCAGGTGTGTCTCTTCTGCAGCTCCGACTTCACAAGGGCCAGTGCCTCAGTGTTAGCAGTGGCAAAGACCAATTCGTCGACGTACACGAGGACGTAGAACGGCGGCAGCGAAGTGTTGGTGCGTACAAACAGCAACGGGTCAGCAGTAGAAGGAGCAAACCCAAGAGCCGTAAGCGTCGTCCTCAGTGTGTCTTGCCACTTGCGAGGCGCCTGGCGAAGACCGTAGACTGGCCACTGGAGGCTCCACTGGGTACCTGCCGGAAAAGACCCAGTGAAGCCAGGTGGGCGGCGCAGCCAGATCTCCTCGTGCAGGCTGCCCTGCAAGAAAGCTGTGCTGAATTCAAGAGAGTGCAACTCTTAGTCACGCTGAGCTGCGACGTGCAGCAACACCCGAAGAGTGGTCAAATTCGGGGTAGGGGAGAAGGTGTGGAAGAAGTCAACTCCCTCTCGTTGACTGAAGCCTCGTGCAACGTAACGCGCCTTGAAGGCAGGCGGAGAACCCGGTAGCCGCTTCACCCTGAAAATCCACATGCCATCGACTATGTTCTCTCCAGGAGGGGGAACTGCGTCGACCAGGATGCCATCTCTGCGTCCATGGCTGTCTGCCAATGAGAGGAGTATGGACCCGTAATCGCCTCTACGTAAAAGCGCGGGGTCGGGATGTGTGGTGCATCTGGGTCTCCCTCAGGGGCAAGCAGCATGGCCACGTGATGAGGTACAGCAGCTGCAAAGCACTGAAAGTCCTCCTGCCTGTTCTCAAGGACGTCCGTGCCAAGGGCACACTCACCCCCGACGGACGGAGGACAGTCAGACTCAGACTCAGCAACAAGACTAGTGGCGTAGTCGAGACGACAGGCAGCAGCAAATTCAACAAGCTCAGCAACTAGGGCAGACGTAGCAGTGGACTCAAACGAAGGGTCAGTGACAACAGTGGCGAGAAAACGAGTGACATTAGGATTGGCAGCACGAACTAGGTCAGACTCAGGGTTAGGAACGGTTGGAAGAGAGGACTCAAGAGGAGGCGGCAGAGGAACGCCCAGTGGAAAAGAGGAAGGACGAAGTGCCATAACGTGAGTGCCGGGGACAGGAGGAAGACCCGGACGAGGAACCCGACGACCAGTGCAAACAGTGCGAACACGCGAGGCAGGACGAGACTCAAGCTCTCGACGCTCTGTAAAAGAGTCTGTCTGCTCAGCGTGAGGAGAAGGAGCAGGCAGTGGGGAGTCTGGCTGTAACTTTGGCTGCGAGTGGCGAGGTGGTGGAGTCAGTAAGCTAGGAGGAAGGCCAGAAGAAGACGGGAGACTAAGAACCCGGCGAAGGACTGAATCAGGTGGCGGCAGAGACGCCGGTGGCGGCGCAACGAAAAACGGGTGCTGCTGCACAGTGCCTCCAGCACCAATACTGCCAGACGCAGCACACCCAGCGCCTGCACCTCTTGCTCCAGGGTCAACAGCTCCAGCTCCTCCAGCGCCAGGGTCTCCAGCTCCAGCTCCTCCAGCTCCAGCGCCCCCAGTGTCAGGGTCTCCAGCTCCAGCTCCTCCAGCTCCAGCTCCTCCAGCTCCAGCGCCCCCAACACCACCAGCCCTGGCACCTCCAGTACCCCGAGCACCTGGGTCAACAGCTCCAGCTCCTCCTGCTCCAGCGCCACCAGCGCCAGGGTCTCCAGCTCCAGCTCCTCCAGATTCACCAGCCCCGGCAGCTCCAGTACCCCTATTACGAGCACCTCCAAGACCAGCAGCTCCAGCAGGAACTCCAGCACCTCCAAGACCAGTAGCTCCGGCAGCTCCAGCTCCACTGCCACCAGCAGCAGGGTCTCCAGCTCCGGCAGCTCCACTCCGAAGGCGTGTGCGCCGAGCAAACCACTCGCGCAGCTACTGCGGGGAAAGAGGCTCCAGCCAAGGAGACATTCGTGGCGAGGCACCTGCAAGACCTCCAAAAGAAGCAGTATCCCTAGGCTCAACACCCCCAGACTCCGCACCCTCAGCCTCAGCACCCCCTAGCTCCGCACCCTCAGGCTCAGCACCCCCCGACTCCGCACCCGCAGGCTCAGTACCCCCAGGCTCTGCACCCCTAGGCTCAGCACCCCCAGACCCCGTACCCTACTCAGCACCCCCAGGCTCCGCACCCGCATGCTCAGCACCCCCAGGCTCCGCATGCGCAGGCTCAGCACCCCCAGACAAAGCAACCCCAGACGCAGCACCTCTAACAGCACCTGAGTCTACAGCGACCTCAACAAGCACAGTACGAGGGAGTGGGTCTAACCTGAGGGGGGCCTGGAGCAAGGAAGAGCGGCGGGGGTGGGAGAGGGACAGAGCGGTAGGGAAAGAGATGGTAAAAGGGAACCGGCTCGTCAAACGTGACGTCCTGAGAGGGGAGGACACGGCGCGAAGTGGGGTGGTAAAACTGCCAGGCAGGTGCGTCAGGGGGAAAGCAAAGGAAGACGCAGTGAATAGCGCGGGCGGAGAGCTTGTCCGCAGACGTATCGCGAACAAAGGCACAAGAACCCCAGACCCGGAACATCGACGCATCGCCAACCTTCCCTGTCCAACGCAGTGCAGGCGAGGTCTCCGGCAAGGAGACACGGGGCCAGAGGTTGAGCTGATGCGCAGCGTACCGGACCGCAAACGGCCACAAAAAATGGGGAGCAGCCGCATGGATCATGGAGGTACGAGCGACCTCCATGACGAAGCCAATGCGGCGCTCAGCAATCCCATTTTGCTGCGGGGAGGCCGAAAGCGTGAAAGACTGGAGGATGCCCTCCCCACGACAAAAGTCCCGCAAGAGGTCGAAGGAGAACTCACCATCTCTGTCAGAGTGCAGACGCAGGACAGGAAGGTCGTGGCGGAAGCGCTCGCGGAGCTGGAGACGGACTGCGCGGATCCAGCAGAAAGGGATCAAGACATCAGGGACCTCACCCTTGTTGCGCAAGGGGAAGACCGTGGTGTAACGCGTGTAGTCGTCAACAACCAGCAGAAAGTAGCGCTCGCGGCCCTGTCCACTGACGCGAGCTGGGCCCCACACGTCCATGTGGAGAGTTTGCAGGGGAGCAGTCGTCGGGGGAAACGAGTAGGAGTGAGGGCCGGTGCGCTGCCGCCCCTCGACGCAAGGAAGGCAGGGCGGGGCAGGCGAGGGCGGGAGGGGAGGCAGAGACCTGGGAAGACCAAAAACAAGGAGGCGGGAGTGCATGCCACAAAGGCGTGGCAGGGAGGGGTGACCAAGGCGGTGGTGCCAAAGGAGAGTCTGGTGCGACAGGAGGCGACACGAGCAGGGGGGTGCTACCGGACCTGACGCGGACACCTGGGCAAACGCAGCTACCTGAGGAGGCTCAGTAGCCAGTGTGTACAGACTCGACCCGGGCCGACGGGTGAACGTGGCCAGGTGACGGCCCGTACGTGTACACGTGCAGATCGCCACACGCTGATCCCCAGTAGTGGTGGTAGTGACCGTCGCATCCTGGAGGGCAGAGGTACTCACTAATTTTGTAGAGAACGAGGGGAGGTGAAGACCTGATAGTGAGCCGGACGGAAC